ATTTGTTTGTGTATATATTCATTTGTCGGTGCTGTCAATTAAAATTTTCTCACTTAATTAGGAAAAAAAACAAGCAGGGTTTATCACAAATTGATCCAGATTTCTATCAGCATCACATCGATGTTGAATTTGCGTAACTTTTCTTTATCCTAATAATGGAAAATAAAAAATGAAATCTCGATCGGCGATCATTGAAACGCAGCTAGCCACTGTATACGCGAAAAAGCAATGTTGCCACTTTTTCTCATTAAACCATATTCGAATCGTAGAAATTTTGGAAGATCACAGCGTCGCTTTTAGCATTTATGCAGCGTTTTTGCTGCATTTAAAATGCAACATTGAGCACTTTCGAACATATGTTTTCGAAGAGCGTTCATGCTATCGCATTTAGCAAATGTACATTTATGTAGCGTTTTTGCTGCATTTAAAATGCAACATTTAGCACTTTCGAACATATGTTTTCGAAGAGCGTTCATGCTACCGCATTTAGCAAATGTACATTTACGCGAGTTCGAAATCGTATGCTTTTGACAAACAGCCCTGTTCCAGTCGCTTATTCAGATCCGTATCTATTACGATAAATTCTCACGGAAAAGATAATGTGCAAAAACCCCTACTGAAAAGGAAAAAATTAATTCTAAACCGAAAATTCAATACAAAAACTTGAATTGTTTTAACCATAACCGAACATTTGTTTGTGTATATATTCATTTGTCGGCGCTGTCAATTATAATTTCCACACTTAATTAGGAAACAAAACAAACAGAGTTGATCACAAATTAATCCAGATTTCTATCAGCATCATATCGACGTTGAATTTGCGTAACTTTTCTTTATCCAAATAATTTAAAATAATAAATGAAATCTCCATCAGCGATCACTGAAACGCAGCTAGCGACTGTATACTCGAAAAAGCAATGTTGCCAGTTTTTCTCATTAAACCATGTTCGAATCGTGGAAATTTTGGAAGATCACAGGGTTGCTTTTAACATTTAGATTCTTAATGCAAAAATGGAGTTGCATTTAGTTGCATTTAGGTGACGAATTTTGTATGGAAAAATGTACATTTAGAGTAGCATTTAGAGCTAAATGTGCTTTTACGCATAAGCAAAAACAGCCCATTACGCGAGTTCGAAATCGTATGCTTTTGACAAACAGCCGTGTTCCAGTCGCTTATTCGGATCCGCATCTATTACGATCAACTCTCAGGCAGAAGATAATGTGCAAAAACCCTACTGAAAAGGAAAAAATTTATTTGTAACCAAAAATTCAATACAAAAACTTGAATTGTTTTAACCATAACCGACCATTTGTTTGTGTATATATACATTTGTCGGTGCTGTCAATTAAAATTTTCTCACTTAATTAGGAAACAAAACAAAGAGAGTTGATCACAAATTGATCCAGATTTCTCTCAGCGTCACATCGATGTTGAATTTGCTTAACTTTTCTTTATCCAAATAATGTAAAACAATAAATGAAGTCTCGATCGGCGATCACTGAAACGCAGCTAGCCACTGTATACTCGAAAAAGCAATATTGCCACTTTTTCTCATTAAACCATGTTCGAATCGTGGAAATTTTGGAAGATCCCAGGGTTGCTTTTAGCATTTAGATCAATGATGGGCAAAACGCTACTCGCGAGTAGCGTCTGCGTCGCAGCGCTTATACGTATACAGAAACGACGCAGCGAATTTCAATTCAGTCTGCTTTCAGTTTTCATGAGAGTGACTCCACGCTTCGCCGTTGAATATTTTTATTCGTAATTTCAGCGCGTTGTTGCCACCTATATATGTAACAATGCCCAAAATGGCTGCGTATGAGTGCCAATTACAATTTTCGGTTTTAAGAAAAGCCAATAATGCCCAATGCTTGTTATGTGGTAATACGACTACTTGGAATCGTTCTTTTAATATAAGGCGACATTATTTGTCATGGTAAAAAAGTCAAACTGCCGAACTGTGTAAACCAATTTAAAGTTTTTTGTAATGGGTTTTATGTATATATGTATGTACGATACGGCGATTTAATATATTTAGTATACTTTATTGAATACTGAGTTTTTTACAAAGTTTAGAAATTTTAAATTCGTGAATTTTGTTGTTGAATAAACTATCATTTTTTAAAACATTAGTTTAATGAAATTAAATTAAACAACTTTTCATGCACGTACATATGTACTTATAAAAATTAATTTCATAATTCATTATTTGAAATTATTTCTTCATTATTTTTTTATTATATTTTATTATTTTCGTTTCATGTTCATAATACAAATTAAATATAAATTTGTAAGAGCGTTTTCTAACACGCGCAAAAAACGACGCACTTTTGTACAATATAGAAAAGTGGCAACTGTTACTCAGCGCGATTCACGAACACCATGACAAAATGAGACTGTATTGGTGTGCCCATCTATGATTTAGATTCTTAATGCAAAAATGGAGTTGCATTTAGTTGCATTTAGGTGACGAATTTTGTATGGATAAATGTACATTTAGAGTAGCATTTAGAGCTAAATGCGCTAAATGTGCTTTTACGCGTAAGCAAAAACAGCCCATTAGATTCTTAATGCAAAGCTGGAGTTGCATTTAGATGACGAATTTTGTATGCATGCATTTGTAGCATTTACAGTTAAATGTGCTAAATGTGCATTTACGCGTAAGCAAAAACAGCCCATTATTAGTTGCGTTTAGGTGACGAATTTTTTATGGATAAAGGTACATTTAGAGTAGCATTTAGAGCTAAATGCGCTAAATGTGCTTTTACTCGTAAGCAAAAACAGCCGATAAATGTACATTTGCTAAATGCGATAGCATGAACGCTCTTCGAAAAAATATGTTCGAAAGTGCTAAATGTTGCATTTTAAATGCAGCTCAAACGCTGCATAATGAGTTGTCCCTTCTTATAAATTTACCTTGTTTGGTATTACCAATCGAGCTTATGCAGCGTTTTTGCTGCATTTAAAATGCAACATTTAGCACTTTCGAACATATGTTTTCGAAGAGCGTTCATGCTATCGCATTTAGCAAATGTACATTTACACGAGTTCGAAATCGTATGCTTTTGACAAACAGCCGTGTTCCAGTAGCTTATTCAGATCCGTATCTATTACGATAAATTCTCACGGAAAAGATAATGTCCAAAAATCCCTACTGAAAAGGAAAAAATAAATTCTAAACCGAAAATTCAATACAAAAACTTGAATTGTTTTAACCATAACCAAACATTTGTTTGTGTATATATTCATTTGTCGGTGCTGTCCATTATAATTTCCACACTTAATTAGGAAACAAAACAAACAGAGTTGATCACAAATTAATCCAGATTTCTATCAGCATCATATCGATGTTTAATTTGCGTAACTTTTCTTTATCCAAATAATGTAAAATAATAAATGAAATCTCGATCGGCGATCACTGAAACGCAGCTAGCGACTGTATACTCGAAAAAGCAATGTTGCCACTTCTTCTCATTAAACCATGTTCGAATCGTGGAAATTTTGGAAGATCACAGGGTTGCTTTTAGCATTTAGGTTCTAAATGCAAAAATGGAGTTGCATTTAGTTGCATTTAGGTGACGAATTTTGTATGGATAAATGTACATTTAGAGTAGCATTTAGAGCTAAATGCGCTAAATGTGCTTTTACGCGTAAGCAAAAACAGCTCATTAGTCGATGACGCAGGTTTTCGATAGATATCTCTCGATTTCTTACTACTGGCATCTCCGTTCCAATTCGATTTATTGATTCGGTGTGACGTTTATTGCTTCGTGAAAAAGTTGAGTGTTCAGAAAAAGTAATTTTCTGTGCATTAAATTGAATACAAATTTACGATTAATAGCAAAAAACGCCCAGAAAATATGTAGGAGCAATTAACGAAGTTTTTTTTTTCATAAAATACATATGGTTGCAAAACAATGGCTTGATTGTATCAAACTGCTATTTTATAGATGTACATGTGTATATGTACTATATCAGAAAAATAACAGTGTAATCACGGAATTGCTGTGAAAATTTTCATTAAAACCTAGAGAATTTTGCTAAAACTTGGTTACGTTCCTATAAAAAATAGTGTTTTATATTGTAGATTTATACTTAATTCCTCTACATCTGGAACATCAGCACCCGCACACAATTCTGTGTATACAATAAACGAGAGGCCTGGCAACGGGAATAAATTGATAAGGTGCCGCAGCAGGAGGGGCGTCAAGGAATACACACGATAACAGAATCAAAAGAAAGTCGTGCGCTACTTGCAAAGTTTTCCAATTACTATTGTTGAAGAATTTAGAGGAAGCAATTGTTTTGGGCTGCCACCGAATTTAATAGCCAACGGTGCCGTCGGCAGAGCATCCATTATTGAATTCGATTCGTATTTGGCGAAAGTAGCAGAAAAGTAGCACAAATAGTATAAAAAGAAAATCTAAGTGCTTTCGCAATGAATCCCGCAACTGATCCGTGGGTTATTACCCAAAGAGAAAAGTTGAAGTATCAGGAACTATTCAAAGCTCTACAGCCACAGGCTGGATTCGTTACTGGGGCACAAGCAAAAGGGTTCTTTTTGCAATCGCAATTGCCTCCGCTTGTTCTGGGACAAATATGGTGAGTCAGTACCCAACAAGCATTTCAGTAAATGTTTTTAAAAATAACTTAAAGTAAGTTTGCTATAATAAGCGTTAGATAAGCATTTTTAATATTAAGCTTACTAAAAGTTTTTTCAACTAAACCTTTAATAAGTTTTGAGAGCGAATGTTTATAAATAACTTAAACTTATAAATGAAATGCAAATGCCAACGACATGAAGTAAATATAACATTTTTTCAATCGTAAGTGACGTGTTTACGTTTTTTAATATATATTATTAAAAGAAAAAATTAAATAAAACCGATGCGGTAAAAAAATCCAATCCAGGACCCGCTGCGCTAATCGGTGGAGCATTCGAGTCTTCAAATGATGAGTTCTCCTTATCCTTTCTTAGTTTAACATTCTATTAAAAATGTATTAAATTTTTTTCAGAAAAGTTCATCAATGAGAATGGCAGCGATGAAGCGGAATATATAGCTGCATCGTTTTTCCAATTTGCCAATAACCGCAAAGCACGCAACAAGATGTAATAATTAACTTTTTTATGGTTAATTTTTGTGTGTTATCGTGAATTTGTATGCTAAAATGTCTATTCCCTATTTATATTTTCGCGACTGTAGATGAGTCCGCCGAAAATTCGCATTTCTTTTAGTTTCTAGATGTTAAGCAATCTATGTATGAGTTTTTAAAGAAATATCTTTAAATAAAGGGTTATAAAAATGTTTATGAAAAGCTCTCTTTTGAAAATTTTTAGTAAGTTTATATTCATACGCTTATAAACAACTTTTTTTGAACCTTTATTATAAGTTTACACGTTTACGCTTATAAAATGCTTTCTTTTGAACATTTATTACAAATTTATATTTCTACGCTTATAACCAATGTTCCTTTTCGATTATATTACGCTTACTTTCAAGCGTTTTACAAACAAAAAATCAACGTTTTGTAAGCTTAATGTTTATAATTGAAAACTTAAAAAAAACTTTCTTTAAGTTTATTTTGCTTGTTGGGTATTAATATTTAAATTTAAAAATGTATATGTAATCAATAGTGATGTAAACGCACCTATACGTTTTATTTACATTTAACCGTGTTTTCATGGAACTACTTTTTTATAAATTAATGCTATCATTGCCTTTGCTTAATTTTCAGGGCATTATCGGACACCGACTCTGATGGCAAAATGAATATCAATGAGTTTAGCATAGCGTGCAAATTGATTAATTTGAAGCTGCGCGGCTTGGAAGTACCAAAAGTTTTACCACCCACTTTACTTGCGTCTCTAACAGCTGTCGGCGGTACGCCAATTTTGACACCCACTGGCACGGGCAGTTTGAGTCCGTTGGATCCACTAAAATCAATGGCTACATGTGCTGTTTCTGGTGTCGTTCCTAGCATTCCGATATCAGGAGCAACATTGCCAGGGGCTGTACCTGCTGTACCAGGCATAGTGCCAGGTACTCTACCTGGCGTGCTACCACAAGCTTTACCAGCTGCAATGACTGCATGCGTGCCTCCTGGTATTCCTCCGACAGGTATTCAAGCGGCTCCTATTCCAGTTACAGCTGTCGGCGCTGTCGGAACGGTTTTACCTGGCGGCGTAATGCAGCCTGGCGTGATGCCTGTAGGCGCAACTGGCGTGCCTGGTGTTGGAGTGCCTGGAATGATGCCAGGCATGGTGCCCCCTGTTCCTGGTGGCGTACCCATACCTGGTATGGTACCAATGCCAGTTGTTGCAACTAGCGGTGCAGTTCCGCCAAATATGATCCCTGGTATAACAGCTGTATCAAGTGGTATATTACCGCCACCAAGCAAAGTTGTTTCACCACCGAATAGTGGTGAGGTAGGCAAGGTCCCGGCCTTACCAACACCACCACAAAGCAACCCACCCAGTCGCCATATGTCAATTTCAGAACGCGCACCATCAATTGAATCGCCGTAAGTAAACAATTATTACATTTTTTTGGCAGTAATGACCCTTGTTATTTAATCTTATAGTCAGAGTGAGTGGGCTATTAAGGGACCAGCCAAGCGAAAGTACACACAAGTCTTCAATGCTACGGATCGCACCCGTTCTGGCTATTTGAATGGCGCGCAAGCACGCAGCATTCTCGTACAAAGCAAGTTGCCTCAAGCTACACTGGCACAGATTTGGACACTTTCTGACTTGGACTCGGATGGGCGTTTAAGTTGTGATGAGTTTATTTTGGCTATGTTCCTTTGCGATAAGGCCATGAATGGGGAAAAGGTACCCGTTACCTTGCCACTCGATTGGATACCACCTAGTTTTCGGAAGAGTAAATCACGTCAAGGATCTGTATCAGGAGCGGGCTCACGTCCCGGATCTACAACAACATCGCGACATGCTTCTGTGTCGCCACAAGGAGCTATGGACGCTGATCCGGCAGCAGGCCTTCCGCAAAGTATTAAAAAATTCCACAAATTATATTGTTTATATTAAAACTACTGTTATATGTATATTTGCAGCAACGTTTGAAGACAAACGTAAAGAGAACTTTGATAAAGGCCAAGCGGAGTTGGATCGCAGGCGTAAATTACTTCAAGTACAACAACGCAAAGAGAAAGAGGAACGTGAACGTAAAGAACGTGAGGAGGCAGAGAAGCGTAGGAAAGCACGGCTTGAAGCCGAAAGAAAGCAACAAGAAGAGTTAGAGAGGCAACTACAGAAGCAACGCGAACAGGAAATGGAAAAAGAAGAACAACGAAAACGAGAGTTAGAAGCTAAAGAGGCAGCCAGAAAGTGAGTTGTAAAGAGATACTCGTTGTTTTGTATAGAAAATTTTAATTATGAGTAGGGAGTTAGAAAAGCAGCGGCAAATGGAGTGGGAGCAAGCACGCATAGCCGAGATGAATGCTCAAAAGCAACGCGAACAGGAACGTGTACTAAAGCAGAAAGCGCACAATACACAACTCAATGTAGAGATGAGCACTCTTAATGAAAAGGTAAATTAAGGATGCCGCAAATGTCGTTTGTATTTCCGTAATAACTGCCAATTTGTTAATATTTAATTACAGATCAAAGATTTGTCCCAAAAGATTTGCGATACACGTGCTGGTGTAACAAATATTAAAACTATAATTGATGGCATGCGCTCACAAAGGGATACTTCAATGTCTGAAATGGCACAGCTTAAGGCGCGTATCAAGGAGCAGAATGCGAAGTTACTGCAACTTACACAAGAGCGAGCTAAATGGGACGCGAAGAGTAAGAGCACAGGTGTGGGTGGCGCCACAGATGCAGCTCAACAAGAGCAATTGACAGCTGCTTTTGCCAATAAACAAGTGGGTACTCTTTTTATTTATATAAACGAGAAAATATTATATACTATCTTTCCATCAATTCTACTTTGCAGTTGGTAATAAAGCAGGTTAGAGACAAAGTCGAAAACATCCGTAATGAAATCGAATCCAAAAAAGAAGATATCAATTCAAACGATCTACAAGTTGCCGAAGTCAAAGGCGAACTATCGGCACTGATAACGAAATGTGAAGAACTCTATGCTGACTACGATACGCAACGTACACAAGTGCTTGAATTGAAATACAACAAAAAGAATGACAACGTATCGGCAGCGACTTCCGCCTGGGATACAGGCTCCACTGCCTGGAGCACCAGTGTTGATCAATATGCTCTCTCTAATGATACAAGTGCAATGGCAGATACAACAGCAACAACGGCTGCACCTGTTGACATGTCCGGTCCAGCACCTGAAGGGTTTGTCAAATATCGTGCTGTGTACGAGTTTACAGCACGCAATCAAGATGAGATTACATTCGTACCTGGTGATATTATTCTGGTACCACTGGAACAAAATGCTGAGCCGGGTTGGTTGGCGGGCGAAATAAATGGACACACTGGCTGGTTCCCAGAAACGTATGTGGAGAAAATCGAAGATGAATATGCGTCTGTTACAACGTCGCCAGCCTTTGCGGCGGGAGCGGATACTGATGCGCAAATAAGCGGTTATGCGGCACAAGACGCCTTCAATGAAAATAGTCGGAGGTAATTTATAATATTTTTTACTCTAATTTGTTGTCAAAACAGCATACAAATCGCCCAAAGAGTTTTACTGAGTTATGCTGGAGTGACAGTCCTTGGTTTGATATAAATCTGGGTCGCTCCGATTAAGTAGTTGTAATAGCAATAAAACTGGCCATTGACATTTCCTATTTAGTTGAGGCTGTTTGGAAGGACAGCCACCAGCCGTTAAATTTGTTTCCTATTAAATTAAAATAAGCTGCATTTTCCTTATAATACGCACATCTTTTCTCAAACTTTGCTACTTCCACAGCATGGCAGCCGATGCACACAACGGTGAAGTTGAATATTATATCGCTGCGTATCCCTACGAATCTGCTGAAGTAGGGGATTTAAGCTTCAATGCTGGTGAAATGGTTATGGTAATTAAGAAAGAAGGCGATTGGTGGACAGGAACAATTGGAACACGAACCGGTATGTTCCCGTCCAACTATGTGCAGAAGGCGGATGTAGGCGCAGCAGTGGCTGAGGCAGCAGCTGATATCGCCAGCGACTTTGATGATCAGAAGGTAAGTAGTACATAGTTGTAAATATGTGAAAATTTTTCAGTCTATGGACTAGTAGCAATCATTAGTTTGTTATATTTATGGGACATATACGTTCTAACTTCCTGTTGCTCCAAACTCCCTTTCATTTTCATATCATATTCGCGTATTTTCACACTTATCACATATGTATGTATGTATCTTGTATAACTACTAACAATTAATACAAATTGCTTTTCCATATTTCCTTCAATTGCTGCTCCATTGCCGCCTTTTGTCACATTCCACAGGGAAATGGCAACGCTGATATAGCCGCCGCTAGTAGCGTCATAACAGCCACTTCACCACACGATCAAATGACAAGCCATGACACAACTGCAACAACTGCAATATATCAACAACGACAACAAAAAATTATTAGCGATTTTAGTGCAGAAGCGGCTATTGATCATAGTACTGCAGCAGCTGCATCT